CCGTTACTACTGAAGATTGGTGATTTACTTTAATTTAAAAAAAAAAGAACAAAGAGAAATAAAACTGCTGTACATAGAGTATTTTTTGTTGATGTTTTATTATTTTATAGTTGTAGTCAGCGGCTTTTGTTTAAGCTACTCTTTCGCGATTGTCGTCTTTAACTTATCTCAAATAAAAGAACGTGCCATTAAATATTGAGTTCGTACTTATAAAACGGTTTCGCAACTTGTCGGTTAAGGATTTCGTAAAATGGCTTAAACATCTGTTGCTTCTTTATTAATGCCTTATGTTTTCGCGAGCGTAGGTATGTTAATATATTTTTGCGCATTAATAATACGTGTTAAAAGGGTGTGTCAGGAAAAGAAAACTGGCAAAAGAAATGAATAAACTGATGTACAATCAAAACGTTTCACTTTTCAAAATTTAACAATTAAACGTGTACGTACCGTAAGTACATATGTACGCATTTTCCTTTTAGCACACCCTGTTAATATAGAACATTTAATTTATTTTTCTCAACTTTAACGTTGAACGTTTCGATTGATAAATGTATTTAAGTTGTAGACAATTCGTATGTAGCTGTATCGTAAACTGGTAGCATTGGTAGCACAAGTACCGGATGACGAGACGCACAGAAGATGTAACAGTGCATTCTTCGAATAAAGATTTCCAATATGAAACTCCGCGAATGACGCGCGATTTTTGTTTTCGCTTCTCGTGTGGGTCTACTTCTCTTTACTAAATTTCCCAGTTTGCTATACAGAACAATGCCTGGTCACAGGGCGGAACACAGGACAGTTGTTTCTCTGTTTCAGGCTATCCTGTCTCGGTGTCGGGTGTAATAACGGTACCGGTATCCGCTAGTATGTATCAGACAATGGTCGCCAATATACAAAGTGACGGCACAATGCAGGTAGTTACGCCGATGGTCCAAGTACCGAAAGTTGAGCCGGGGAACGGAGAAACTAGTATCGAAGCCGTCACTATACAGGGCCATCCGATGACAATGATAAACGCAGCCGGTGAACATCAAGTTCTACAAGTGATATCGTTGAAGGATGCCAATGTCCTCACCAAAGCTATGCAAGCTGAAGTAGTGAAGGATGAGGATAGTCAGCAACAACAAACCGTCTCTAGTCCAGAATAAAACGTTTTACATAGTTAATAAAAAGAAAAAAAAAGAAACACAAGAACTCAAAAAGACGAGAACAATAGAAGAACCAGAAGCTTTTATGTTGACACCAAAATGCGACACAGGTGAACATTAGTGGTGTTGAAGTAAAGATAAAAAACAAAACAAAACAGTAAAGAGATAGAGCGAAAGTGAGAGCGAGAGAGAAAGAAAGAAAAAGAGAAAGAAAGAGTGAGAGTATTAGATACGTGTTATTAATATTAAGGCAGGTGATTGTGTCTTTTCTGAATCATTGTGTAGTGTGTCATCGTGGCTGTTGAAAACAGCGAACGGGAGTAGCGAATCTGTCTGGGAGCGAGGATGACTGAATGTTCGACTCATCGGACTTGGATGTAATCATATTTGTATTCAAGATTCATTGTAGACACTTAGAGTATTCACTTGTAATTCGACTTCTCGAAGATAGTACTAATTTTTAGGGGCTAATCGCGCTCGACGAATGCGAAACCGTCGAGTCTCCGCGGAGATCCTCGACGGTTTCATTGTAGCGACGGTGTCCGGCGGACCGGATATTATTGTTTACCATCTTCCAGTTCTAGCGATCACGGACCCAGCGAGAAACACGTTCGTCTAGTCTTTAGTGTCGTGTCCAGAAGAGCGATATCGATATACCAAAGAAATTTAAGATTTATGTTAAATTATTTTACCAGAGGAACGAATACAAAGAATCTATATATATATATATATATATATATATATATATACACAGAGAGAAAAAGAAAGAGAGAGAAA